ATTTCTTGGCATTTTTTTTGGCTTTGATGTCTAAGGAGTTTGAGAATATTCTTTTTTTTATTTTTTTATTTTTATGCAAGTTGGAAAACATCGTGTGGTTTCTAATTTGGGTTTTATTTTGTTTTGTTTGTTTTACCTGTCATTGTGTTGGAAGTTCTGCCCACCTTTGACTTGGTGTTCTCTTTTGTAATTTTTTCTTTTCTTTGTTAACAAAGGTACTGTTTCTTATTGAAAAAAAAGGAGATACCCAACAGCCTATAAATATACTATTTATGCTTTCTACTAGATGACGAATTGAGTTCTAGAGTATTTAAGGTTATGTGCGCACACCATGTCGCTTTACTCCTTCGAGGTGAATCCAAAGTTTTTAGGGCTACCTTTATTGGTTTATTGTTCACAACCCTTGAAAAATGATAACGTTCCTTTTCAACCTTAAACTCTTCTCTACAAAACCTTAATCAACCTTGATCTATTCCTTTACCCAAAACTAGGAACCTTAAACTATAACTTCCGACACACCGTTTTCTGGTAATTCCTGTGACTGACAACTTTCTAAATCAGCTAATTCCATTAATTTCATGTCTGCAAATCTTCAACTTGCATCTTATAGCTTCCTGAAGCGAGTACTTTTGTGCAGCATTAACTGCCACACAATTATATGCAGGCAGGATTCTTATAAGTTATCTAAGGCTACCCTAAAATAATCTGACGCCTGACTGTAGGAATGTTATCAAGTGGTCAAATTGAGAAAGTTTGTTTTGACTGCAAATTTTAGTCTTCCAAACTACTTATGGCCAACAAAAAGCTGCGTGCATCAGTTAGCTACTTTACCAGTGAACTGACTGAACAATTATGGCATAAGGTGTTAATGGTATGCACATTCTGTGTAGAATTTTTGACCGTTTACATATATCGTATTCTTGTATATGAAGTATTCCTGTGCAGAAAGTGCTTTGGTTGATTATCTCGAGGCCAGTTGGCCTCGAGTTCATTTGAGTGACTGCTTAGTTGACAATGTTGTATTTTCTTTGGTGATTTCTTGTACTGTTTCATTGTTAACCGAAAAATAGTTTTATTTATTGCCATGTTATGATATATTTTCTGTTATTTACTTGCTACAGGAATTGCTTGCTAGGAAGGATATTGGATATCAAAATGTTATAGTAGGTGAAGTTTGGTGTACCAGGTGAACTGTGAATTTTGCATATTCCCTCGTTTCTATATTTTCAAGTGAAAAATTAAAGGAATTTGGTTACTTTAGTGCTAACCGGAGCGGCTGTTTTTGAAGGATTAAGTTTACAGATAGAAGTTGCTATGGATTTTGTGTCGAGGATTTTGTTCTGGGTAACGATTTTTAGATATTTCTTTTTTTGGCTTTTGAGTGAGATGTAAAATCAGGTTGCGGCATATAGTCAGAAATGTACCATGCATCTCTGGTGAGGCGTTGATACATACAAAAGTATAGACTTCTTTTTTTTGGGTTTTTATTTTTCGGAATTCTATTTCCGGCTGTAATGTTTCTGCAAAGTTGCAGGTCCTCTCTGTCTGGTATGCTTTGTTTTTGTGGGTTCCCTTACACTGGGTTTTTGTTTCATCTCAGAATGTACCAGAGCCTCTTGTTGATTTAGTAGTGTGAAACATTTGAGGGTTTACCCATCTGGGTGTTCCCATGAATAAGTTTTAGCACATTCTGATTCTTTTTCCTCGTATATTTCGTGCATTGGTGTCAAAACCAGTAATTTAATGGATTAGTTCTACTCATTTGCTGCGATTGAATCTCTATGTCCTTGGCCTTGAGCAAAAGGGAAAGTCTGAGGTACCCCAAAAAAAAAAAAAACCGGTACCGGTATTGCCGACTGTTACTATTTTGTCCGATGAAGTTACAACTTTGAAATGAGAAGTTATAATTGTTTAAAGAAGGTCATGATCGATAATGAAAAATGCAGTATTGATTTCAATATTTAATGATTGATCGTGTCCTTTAAAATTATAACTTACATTTCAAAAAAATTATAATTGTCAATATTGGTACCACCGGCGGTACCATAGAAATTGCCGGAGCAAAATTCGAGATGGCAAAACCATGGCAATTTGTCTAATTACTCACAGCTTTCTGGTTTCGACCATTGATTTGACTAACTAGAGCTCCTCATCGGATCCTGTGAAATGATTTTGAATGATCCTTTGAAGGGGCTGGGTTCTGGCAATCGTTTCAATAATGTCTTTTAGATTCATGGCAGCAATGCAAATATCGTATACACGAAATTTTCTTTCCGAACGTTAACTTTTGAGTATTCTACAAAGCACTATCTCTATATGAATACAGAATCAACCTCTCTTTTCTCTCACTCTAAGTTGTGTCTAAATAAACTCTGTTCAATCTCTTTCATTCACGGTAAGGAGATTCTAGAAATGATTTAGTGTTAGAACATCATGATCATGCAAATACATGCGTGTCTAACGGCTCCGTTGACCCATTTTCTAAGGTTACTTTTGGGATGGAGTAAGCCCAAGATCAATCTACATGTTTTTTAATGATATGGAAGACTAAAAAAATATTCATTACAACAGTAATATCACGTTTTTTAGTGATTTGAAAGACGAAAAAATATTCATTGCAATGATGATATCACGTCAGAATTGTCACGTGGTATTTAATAATATGTAGAGGAATAAGAAAATAGATCTTACACAAATCAATAACTACTCTTCTATGTAAACAAATAATTACGCATTTTTTTTTATATAAGTCAATAACTATCCAAGTATAATTTTCTTTGCTTATTTAGATTTTATTATTTGTTGGTAATACGATATTATCAATGTTTACGTAGTATCACACAACAGTCATTTGTACAAGAGTGATGATGATTGCTGCATGCTCTCCCTCTCTCTCTCTCTCCCCAAAACCAAGGCATCAATTGAAGCAGATGATAGCAAACTAACCTGTTTGAATTCAACTTAGAAATATGACACGAGATACCTTAAAGAGGGACCATTTTGTCTAATACACTCATTTGGTTACTACTTTATTACATTGGTTTAAATGTGAAGTGCAATATTCAAAGGGGGAAAAACTAGAATTTTCTACCGCCTAAAAGTTTTTTTTTTTTTTTTTACGAAGACAACCAAAGCACACAACTTTTTAACTACTTACCCAACATCGACAATAGACTACTGGGGTCGAAAAAGAAAAAGAAGGGAGAAAGCAAAGCAATATATGGCTTTCCTACCTTCTAGTTTTTCTACAATGTAGCTTTCAGCAATTCATTACTGGTAAGTAGTAGATATAAACCTTAAAAAACACATAGCAAAGTCAAGATGGCCGAGTTGGTCTAAGGCGCCAGTTTCAGGTACTGGTCCGAAAGGGCATGGGTTCGAATCCCATTCTTGACAATAATTTCTAATTTTTTTCAATACCATACCGAAAGTTATGATTTTTTATTGTAAAATTACACGTTTAAACGAAGAAATTAAAACTAAGTAAAGCCCATGATTAAGTTTGTCAATCGTGTTGGATAAAACGGTTTCGTATCGAATTTTAGCAGATTCATACCAAAAATATTTTCACCTATATCCGATTTATTTATTAATTTATGTCTAACGAATTATGTTATATCGAGTTCGTGTTGTATATGAATTATGTATAATTAGTATATAAATAAGTCATATCGTGTATTTTTTATTATTATTTTTTTTTTACTTCACTAATACCCAATTCATAATAAATTGTGTCATGTTGGATCCACTCATTTACTAAATAGATAGTTTAAAGAAGACTCAAACTCTCTAACTTCGTTTTGTGTTAATGGGTCATTCCATATTTTGACATTACTATCTAATATAACAGTTGTAACTTTCATGATCGATAATCCCTTTTACAAATTGTAGCTTAAATCTTAAAAGAATTATAACTTTTTCTTAAAAAATTATAATTTTCAATACTTTATCTCTGGCGGTACCATAGCCTTTCCCGCTTCTGTAAGTATTTTTGAAAACAAATTAAGTGAATGAACCTTTCAAGTTTTGAGCTCTCTCATATTCGAATTCCCTTTAACTTATATCAATTATACGATGCTCCACCACATCAATTTATGGGTTGATCATTGGATTTCTTCCTGTGAATATGATCCTTCTTGTGATCTATCACAATGCTAATCTGAGATACCTATACCTCTCGACCCTGTTTACCAGAAAAAAAGATGACTTAAAAAAGAAAATTCCAGGTACATGGAGTGTTGCATGTTGTCAGTTTAAGGGCATTTTGATGCTTCTGGGTGCTATGGTAGCGAGGACACATGAAAGTGTTCCAAGTCGGCTGATCCAGCCAAGTTTTTTACCTTCTCCTTGCAGAGAAAATAAGGGAGTCAATGAGAAACACAGGAATAAAGGAGAGCACCCAAATTCGGGTTGCGAAAATAAAAAGATCAAACTCTCTCCTCCAACCTCCGCTTTTCAATCTATCTACAACTCAGTATATGCTGTGTTGAGGTTATGTGGGTTGTGCCAGCCTGAGTGAGCAAGAGGCACCATGGCATTCTGAACATATTGCTCTAGAAACTTAAACAAATGAGTTAAAAAAACTGCTGAATCAGGATAGAAAAGCAGGCAAATGAGGCATTCAACAGTCGGCTCCAGAGGGTGATTGATCTAGCTTGGCAGAACATCATTTAGAGACAGAATCTCAACAAAGTCTTCATTCCCAAATCAAGACTTGGGGCCCTTACATTGCAAAACCCCGATTCTGATTCCAAAGTTTCTACAGACTATAATTCGGTATTACTTCAATGTGGCATCATTTAGATTTCCAGAGAACAAAAATCATTGAGGACTATGCTTTTTCTATTTACATTAGAATAAATAACTGTAAATTTCTTCACTGTCTATCATACTAGACATAAGTGCCGTTTTTTCCTTCCACAAGAAAGCAAAGATGTTCAGATACACAACTAACAGGGAGTCTCACATTTGTCTAAAGCATCACATGGAAGATTTATGGGTTATAGGGTTACAATTTCTTTCACAACACGAGCTTTGGCTGCAGCGAACTGCTCATCTTCTGTAGAAAATTATAACTCAAAACAATGAAGCTATATATTCACCTCACAAAGGATGTAATTCAGGAAGTATTACAAGCTTCCAAGCAGATGGTGTTTACCTTTATCAAACCTGAAGTCACCAAGGAATTGGAGGAGCTTGGTTCTATTTTTTAAAAGTACACTAACTATCTCAGGAGGGGAAAGAACGAAAAAAGACAAGAAAAGGAAAATCAAAACAAATCAAAACATAAATAACACACAAGTCCATTTTCGTATGCTATGTAAAACTGAAGTCACTGACTACTATACCTTAAACACATGAAATGCTTCTAATTGTATGCTCTTGTTTGAATCCTAGAAAAATAACGGAAGGATATGCATTGTGAATATTTGCCGGTATAGAACTAGATATGCCCAAAGAGAGAGAAAGAGTACTCTGAGGAGATTCATCAGGATCCTCAAGTTGTCCAAGGAGCTCACATATCGCACCATCACTGAAGATTTTGAACTATCCAGAAACATCTGCCCCAACAATTGCATCATATGATACACTGTCAGAATATGCATTATTGTTAACCTTCCCTAGAACACTTGCATATTGGAACAACAGAAAAAGACAAATATGTGCATGCAACAGAAAGAATTTAACTCTACCAATGATAGATAGTCAAGTGAAGAAGTTCTAGAACCATGAATTCAATAAAAGATGCAATAGAAGAAAACAAGATGTAATTAATACGACCTTTTTGAAAAAACAGATGTGATAAATGTGAACACATAATCACGATGAGAAAATAAGTCTGTCTTCAATTGGACAGAAATACAATAAGGACGTAATGTGATGGTTGGAAAAAAAGAAACAATAGACTCCAAATGTACACCTCTTAGTTCGAGACTTTGAGGATGCAAGAAGAAGAAGCGTTGCGTATTCACAAAATTAAATAACGTGCCATAGAACTTATATAGGAAATCAGAGCACCAACAGTTGTACCTTCAAAGCATGTCGTCTAGTGATGTAAGTAGGAGACTCCAGCAACTTTGTGTTGAACTCTTGGAAAAACTAAAATGTAAAAAAGTTTCAATATGTTTGAATAGACGATTGACTTGAACTATGTAAACTAAGCAAATTATAAGGAGGAAATACAAAGTAATTTGCAAACATGTAACAAGCTCCCAAAATAGAATGCTCATCACTACTGATTTAATCTAACATAGGCATGCTGAGGCTGAGAATTAAAAACTTGGAATGTAAGATACAGGTACATATAGTGTTGCCAGATTTTTTTTTTTTGGTATTACGGTCAGGGTTGTTCGGGGCAGCTTATGCGCACCTCGACTAATCTCCTCCTTAGCCCGGTCAAGCCGGACCATCCATGCTAGAACTAGGGAATTCATAAGGGATAAATCCCTCATGGCCTAGCTCCAAGGGAGTTGCCAAGTTTCGAACTCTGGATGTTTGGCAGTGCTTCCAATATTGGTAATACTTGAGATGTGACATAAGGTAAGAATACATATACTCCAGTCCCAGGTTTTAGGGAATTCAAGTTATATTCAGGCATACCATACTAAGATATCCATGGCAAATAATCAAAGTAAAACAAACACATACCAGTCATAATTTCTGGAAAGAAATTCAGCAACAGTTGACCTATGTCTTGTCAAAAGCTCCTGTTATTTACGTGACAATACTATCAACATCCATATCAGCAGGATGACCAACCCTAGTACAAAATATGTGAGACAACATAACAAATTAAAAAGAGGGTTTTGGGATGACATATACTATAAAAAGTTAGCAAGCTTGGCTTTTCTTGCATTCATAAATTTATATGCTTCCATCCTCAAGCAAGAAACTCATTCTGTTCTATTTAAAAAAAAAATTGAAAGATGTCTGGCCATGATACATGACCGTAAATACCAATATACTAGCTTAACTTCAGAATTTTACCTTATCCAACTGACACCACCATATATAACGACCTTGGAAAAAAAAACCACACAACCAAAACCAAGACCGGGGCTCTATATGAACTAAATGTTGCCAGCACAACCTTCCCTACAGCAGCTAATATCAAAATACTAGCAGACAGGACATTTAGTTCTCTACCTTAAATGCACACCTTCCAGAAAGGGGTATTATCAAATGAGCTCAATCCATGTCACTAAAGAGTTGCATGATTGTCCCAAGAGCATAGCTAAAAGGATGGACACATAAGTTTGAGGTTTATGTGTCAGAAGCTGATAGCATGAAGATGGAAATGACATGGTAAGGACTCACAAATCACATATGTCAAGCCAAAAAAAAAAAAATATATATATATATATGATTGTACTCAACTTTAAAGGTTGCTGCTGCATCTGACGCTATCTCAAAACTAGGATTTTGTACATATTCAAAGAATTTCTTCATGTGCTCTGATTCCAGCACATACCTGGAAAACAACTAGAAACATTAGTCAGAATTCAGACAATGTTTATATGACAGCAAAGAATATTTGACGACACAACAGGTACCAATACCAACTTCAAGCCATATGCAAGCCTTAAAGTACTAGAAAGAACTTGAGCGTGCAAATTCTACTTGCCTTTGCTGGATGCCGGCTTTACAGAAAAGCACAGACGCATGCATATGCAAGAAGTACTTATACATTAGAGCAGTTTGCTTAAAACGGCATGTCAGTCACTATTTGATCAATTTTAAAATCAAATCAGAACCCAAAAGATACTTGGAACCAGATTCGATACAAAAAAAGTGAGGTTTTAAAAATGACTTCTCCAGTTTTCAGAGGCAAAGCCAAAATGTTCTATCACCGGGAATCATTCAACAAACAATTAATTAAATGAACTTATTTGCTACGTATTATCATTATATTCAGGAAATTGTCAAAATTAAAGTGAAATTCTTAATTGTAGGAAAATAACAACAAACTAAATACAGTGATGCCCTTGTTTACAGATACACACAAACACAAAAGAATTAAGTTGATTTTCTTATATATTTCACAAAGAAGTATAAACTGAACTCACACGGTACAAAAAAAGTGCCCAATGACTAATTAAGAACAAAATTCACAGTGATACATTAAAATCGCTACCAAAATAAACATACAAATTTTACCCAATAATGAATACACTGTAAAAACCTTTTTGATGTCTTCGCCAAGGGGAACATGAACAAGCCTCATGGGTGAGTCTAATTAGTCAATACCCACATTCTTACAAAAGTTGCATTATGTATTTTAGCATGGACCATTTGCTATCCTTATGCACATAATTCTATCAGCCAGTGGGTTTAGTTTGGGATATATTACATGGGTTTGCCCAAGCATTGTCATTGCCTGATATACATATATTCATTTCTTAAATGTCAGTGGGTTCAACTGACCCCACTGAACAGCACATATCTCCACTGATGATGCTGTTATCACAATATGGTATTTGCGATTCGATGCATTGAATAAACCTTTTTTGCTTTTATTACTTGTTTTGAAAATTTCAAATTAAAATTTTACAACAATCACAGTCACTCATTAACAATGGGTGTAGCGATATGATGCCTGCATTATGTGCTGGGCATGAAATAGAAATCATCTGCAGAAATTGAGCTATGAGTTGTGGCTATTTTTATCATGACAAGGGGTGATCCTTTAGTTTTAATACAAGTCTACTGCTCTGTGAAACCAGCCTGATGCAATGCTCTTAGCTTTAGGAATCACGAAGCCCTATTGTTAATTGGGACACATGTTTTTTTTCAATACATGGCAATTGCCAAACCATATCTCTTAATACTGTTAACCAACTAGCTACATCTGATAGCAGGCACAGTTTATCTCATTTCGTGTCATTGAATGTTAATGTTGATATTTACTCCAGCTTCTGCGACACCAACTAAAGCATGATGCAACAAGCATGACAACACTGGCAAATATTCAGGCCAAGATTCAGATTCGATGCCCCAAGGAGTCTATTCATAGTGAAAACATGGTGGCATATTCATGAACTAATTAAACAAAATAACCACCACTTCAGGCAATAATCAGAGTTCTGCTAGTTAACCAAAGAGATGCATTCTACATTGAGTTCTTAACCTATTGACAATAAAATTTGGAAAGCCAAACATATGGACCACTAATGCTGTCAATATTGCTTACCTAGCAATGACCTGATGACGAATGCAGTCTCTCAAAATTGTGCCATATGATAAAGCAATGTCAGAGTCTTCATAACTAGCCATTCAGAAAATTACAATATCATTAGATGTTCCAATATAGAAACCATATGAATAATATTCCTGATAAAATTAACCCCAATAAGTCCAAGCCCAAATGTAAATTCTTGCAATAAAAGATGCCTAAATGATAAGATTCCTCATTTGTAAGCATGAGAAAGACAGAATATAATATGGAGGCATAGCAACATATCGCAGACAAAACAAGTTGGATCTTTAATAGTCACCTAAATAAAAATTAAGATTCTTCGGCTTTGTTGTTTCTTCTTTTGAACAGGTTCTGGTCAGGATACTTTCATCAACAGAGGAACTGGAGTTAAATATGCATACAAACATATGGTCAAGTGGAAGATAGAAAACAACGCTTGGAAAACTTAAACTTCTACAGTTACCTATGCATGGGGGTTATGGCTCTGAATTGTTTGTTTCTTTGAGGTTTTTAGAGAAATAGAGTGGCATATAGTGATATATAGATGGTTTCTTACTTAGAATAGACACGGGAGTATATTGTTGGTCTTCTTAGAACTTAGAAGATAGGTTGCTGGAATTTATGGACAGAATTAAATAAAGTCCAGAAATAAACAAGGGTAGAAGAACAAAAAGGCGGAAAAGGTATCGACTAATAACTGCTAATTTTCATCGCTAAAACTCTTCAAATTTAATTCTGACACATTAAATTAGAACATAATTAAAATTAGAATTGATATAGACACAAAAATCCATAATTATCAAAACAGAGTTACAGCCAGCAGGAAGAGCATTTGTAACGACAACATAGCATAAGAAACAACGCTGCATTATGTCGAAATTCTAACCTCTATTATTGAAACTCACCCTTGTACCAAAGTATCCAAAAGATCTATATTCTGTTCCATGTAATCAGCAGCAATTGACTGTGACTTAATCCGCTGCCTTTGCAAATTAGCGACCACATGAGTGGCAGCCTGACGGGTCTGCAAAAATGAAACCCATGATGATTATATGCAACTTGCAAAAATAAATAGAAGTACGAAGGTCAGCCTCAGTTCCAACATCATAAGGGTAACTGCACAGAGAGCAACGACGTTGCTTACCCCCGAATCTAATTTAAGGCGCAGTGTATCATCTTTGAAGAACTCCTGAGTCACTCGTGCACAAGCTTTCGAAATTGGTTCTGATTGATCATCACCATAAAGAACATTCCTCAACTCCATAATGAGTTTCCTTAATTCAGACATCTGCATAGGCGCCACGATGTCAGCACAGTATTGTTTATCAAAAAACTGACCAAGAGCTATCCTACATACAAAACGAGTTACTCAAATGACTACGGATTAAAATAAGCAGAGCGACAATGAAGTAATTGGTGAACACTTGTTCAGTCTCTGCAGTGATTTAAAAAGCACAAACACCTACTCACACAGGCATAATCATGAACACATTAAAACCTTTTTCTTTCACTTTCTTTGTGAGATAACTACGTGAATAAAATAATTATTTAACAAATAGAACAAGCCAGTACCAAACACTCCGAGCAAAATAAGCGGAGAAAACAAGAGAAAAATGTACTCTTTTTTTCTGGAATTAAAGCAGAATGAATTGTTGTTTTGAAATTACTGGAAGAGAGGCACAGTTCTTCCTTGAACTTGGACAATGTATGATACTATGGCGACGAATAAAACCCTAAGTGCGTGTGTGTGTTATGGAACCTTTTCTTGGCGTTTTCGCGGGTCTCGGTGTTGCGGTCGACGTAGATGAGGAGGTCTCGCACCTGACGGACGAGCTCCTCCGGCGTCCGGGGCTTCGACTTGAACAACCCTTTCATGGGTGATGCAATGTATAAGAAAACCAGAGCCCCCCGTTTTTGTTTGTCTCACAACGTAGTTTTAGAGGATTGCATCAATCTGTATGTAGTTCTATGGCAATACGAAACATGGAGAGAGAGAGAGGATAGTGCTACGCGGTGTTTCCCCTGTATAAGGTAACGGCTGTTATGGGTCGTGGCCATGTGACGGTTACACATGTCAGCGATGTAATCGTAACACCCAATATTTTTTCCCTTGCATACGTGACACTTCTTGGAGTTATTTATCCGGACTACGTATAAATATGATATCATATCATTATTAATAGTTACACTTAAATCTCTTTAAGTTTATCGTTTAATCATTTACACCTTCTGATATTTGAAATATTATACATAAATTTTTTAAAATTTGTACGCGCATAACACTTACATCTCTATCATGAATGTCTGTTAATATATCCGTTAATAAATTACATCCAAATTTTCTTAAGTTTATAGACGTGTAATACTTATGCTCTATTTTGTACGATGAAAAAATGGATGGATGACAAGTTGGAAAGATGAAACGTTGGAGGGATAAATAAAATATCATGTGTTTGTAAGGAAGGATGAAAAAATGGATGAATTAATTTTTCTTCCAATTCACCAAAATCAATTCCTCAAAAATAGGAAGGAAAATTGATGAAAAGTTAATTATTTGTGTTAAGATGTATCTTATTTGTCTATATACTATGTATACATTAATTTCATATAAAAATATAATTTCGAAATATGTATTTATATATATTTTAATAAAAATTTAAAAATTGAATAATTTTTTTAAATATATATATATATATTTTTTCATCTTAATTAGAGGTGAAAAGTTTTAACTAAACATGATGATATGACTTAACCTGACACGAACTTGAAAATGACCAGACATGCGAATAAGAAATATAAAAGGATCATAATTTTATGACTTAACACGAATCTGACACAACATGACTTTATTGTCACCCCTAATATTAGACAAAAATAAATTAAAAAAAAATTAGTCATTTTTATTTTCTATCCATCTAACCAAACACAAAAGAAGGAAGATGTATCATTCCTATTTTTTATTCTTGAAGGATAAAAAGTGTATCCCTCCTATTTTCCGTCCTTCCTATCATACTTAAATTAGAGGACACCAAACTTAAATTATATTCCTCAAATTTAAAATAATATACTTAAGCGAAAAATAATCCATATCCTAAGTCATTCATTATATGACCATGGGCCTCATTTACACAATGTCGTTATCGTTTTCTAGAATCCTCAACCCATTACTAAAGTCCATTTCAGGCACTTTAAACATGTATTTTAATACAAAACATCAGCACAGCAAGCCAATTAAAACCATATATAACTATCCAAATAAAAAACAACAACACATGAAACCAAGTAAAACACACAACAAAACGCACACGCACAACACAGATTTCCGAACGATTAAAAAAATTGGAGCAACAAAGGACTTACTATTTAATATATAAATAGTAAAGAAATTAAATAATTATTTGAAAAAATTTAGTTAACATTTAAATGTAATTTATTAAAATTTAATAAAATAATTTATTCGAATCGAATCAAATTTTAATTTATTAATGAATTCATATATGAACTATGAAAATAATAGGACTATTCTCAACTTGCATCTTGAAAGATCATTTGAATTTCAATTTGCATCCTCAAAGTTTAAAAATTTTAATTTATACTTTAAAAGACATAAGTTCGTATCAATGTACACATGTGATTAAGTGTCATTTATTTTGTCGTTAAAAAAGTTTAGACTAATTATAAATTATACCCTTAAAGTTTAAATATTTCATATTTATGATCTAAAAAGAATTTCTTCTATTAATACTTGTTAATTAAGTCTTAATTGTATTGTATCATAATATTTTCATGTCATGTTTGAGTCCAAAAATATTTTAAAAATTTATAAAATACGTACTTTGTTCTTATAATACTTATTAAATAGCTATTTTCTGTTTAAAGTTAGATACGAATCTTTTGAATGTTCAATCAAATTAAAGTTAAATATGAATAACACAAAGAAAACAGAAAATAACAATTAAATGAATATTGTAGGCAAAAAATAAGTATTTTTATAATTTTTAAAAAATATCAAAAAAGTATTATATAAATTATCGTAAATGTGAAATATACGACACAACGCAATTGATTCGACACAAAAAAATTTTGTATTAAAACTATTTTTTTATCGACTCAAACAAAATATGAATATGATACGACATGACACAAAATAACATGATCTAATACAATTAAAAGATATTTAACGAGTATTAATGGATAAAATTATTTTTAATCATAAATATGAAATATTTAAACTTTGAAGGTACAATTTATAATTATCCTACACTTTTTTAACCGTAAAATAGATGGCAGTTAAACCAGTACACATTGATACAAATATATATATTTTAGGGTATAAATTAATATTTTAAAAATTTAAATTAAAATTCGAGTTTTTTTTCAAATTGCAAGTTAAAATTGACCATATTCGAATTGGACTTTCAAAGTTGGATTCAGTTTCGGCCAGATTACACTACACTATTAGTCGTTACACAAAACGTTTTCTCTTGGGGGAATTTCATTTTATACCTTGAAGAATTAATTTTTTTTATATTTTATTCTTTCAAAGATTAGATTTTTATATTTGACCCTTAATGTAAAAAGTATTTTACCTTAATGTATTAAAAAGTATTATAAAATATAGATTTCATTTCTTATTTGGTCAAAAGTTATCCTATTTACGGTGATAGAATAAGCAACAGAAGTGCAATATTACAATATTTTTAATATATTGAAAGTATAATATATAAGAAAATTTAATTTTTCAGGCATAAAATAAAATTTTTTAAATCTTTTGGATGCAAAGTGTAATTCGTCCTTTCCCTTAGTACAGATCGTTTGGAGAGGGAGGGAGAGAGAGAGAGGGAGAGAGAGAGAGAGAGAGAAGAGAGTCAGAAAACCTCCACCACAAAACGTCTCGCACCAGCAAATTTTCAGCTAAAAGATTAGAGAGTGAAGCCGATGATGATAGTCCTACAGACAATGGCTTCTTTAACATCACACTCTCTCTTCAATTACTCTCTTCGACTATGCCCAACTCGTAGACCATCATTCTCTCCCCACTCTACTGTCAAACGACTTGCGGAGAGAGAAATCAAGTTTTCTGCGTTTTACAACAAGATAAATAGGCGTTATACTTCTTCTTCTTCAGCTGTGGCCACCGATTCTGTGGACACTGCAGTTGTTGCTAACGAACGAGACAAGGCCTCAAATGATGCTTCCAACGAGAAAGTGGTGCTTCCAACCAATGAATCGTCCGAGAGGCTTCTGAGAATCCGACACAGTGTATTGGTTTCTCCTATTTAATTTCTTCCCTCTTACATTTTTATCATATTATGTTCGGATTTAGTAATCTGTTATGCTACTGGGAATTTAGTTTAACTGAAAATAGAAAGGACTTTTGGAGATTTAATCAAATTTTCTGTCTCAGTTTTATGTTTAATGATGTTTGATTTCAGTTAAAATCAATGAACTTAGCTCATGGGAGTCAAATAGTTGTGTTCGTTCTCAATTAGGTGAAAGTGATTATTTTAGGTTTAGAATGTTCATTCATTTTACTTTCCAACATTTTCTGAGACATTTCCATTTTTTAACAACCGAAAATAGAAATGTTACATGGTAAAATGAAGAATTATACATTGGAAATGATCATATTATCGAGATGATAAAAGTAGCATAAATTAGAAAAAAAAAAAAGCTAAGATGGTTTGAACATGTGCAATGAAAATCTGTAACTGTTTAGGCGAGGAAGAGTTATATGATTACATAGATGCCATGACTGAGGAAGACCAAAGTTAATGTAGATTGGGATTGTAAAAAAGATATGGTAGCTTGTTAGAATAGGGCCCTTAACAGAGAAGAATGATGGAGCAAGATTCATGCTGTAGGCAGTGCTGTGATAAGGTTTTGCTAAGTTATTTGCTGCCTGCCTTTTACTGATGATTTATATCAAGGTTGATTTGACATTAAGTTTATTTTGCTCTGTTTCATTGTTACATTCATCACAGTAGAAATGAAATTTAGAATATTGCATATATCAACCATCTCTACCACATAAAGACATATAGTTGCATGCACTGTCATGCAACATGTTTTTTTAACCCCTATGGTTACCAGCAATTTAAGTTGAAATTCTAATATTTTCAGAAATTACTATGTGATGGAGTAGTATTCTTCTAAGTTAAAAAAAAAATTGAATTTTGTTGTCTTTATGTTGTTGACATTGATCTGGATAGGAAAAGGAATGTAATGGAAGCTATACCGAGTTTAACTATACACCTTTTTGTTGATACGTTGGCGATAGCATGTCTGTCCATAGTCGTACCCAAATATTTACCACCACGACCAAGAAACCAATTGATGATGTATTCTTTACATGTTTACCGGTTGTTCAAAGTTAATTCGAGCATTAGTAAGAGTTCAATATTGATTCATATCTGTCACACGTCATACTTATGTGTTTGGTAGTTCTGGAAGTGCATTAAATAAAAATACGCATGAGCAGAGGGCAAACTTTTTTGTGCTGAACAATCTTATCCATGGATGTAGTGTGCCCATGTAATGGCCATGGCTGTTCAAAAGCTCTACCCAGATGCAAAGGTGACTATTGGGCCATGGATTGACAATGGATTTTATTATGACTTCGATATGGAGCCTTTGACAGATAAAGACCTGAAGAGGATTAAGAAAGAGATGGTGAGCAGTATTAGTTCATAGTCACAATTAATATATTTTCCAATAATGTGGTTGGTCACTACTTTGGGAAAATATTCATTATTTTATGGTTTTTGGTTACAGAATTTATTTGTTGAGTCATCTGTAGGATCGCATAATTGGCCGAAACCTATCACTAATTAGAGAAGAAGTTACCAGAGATGAAGCTCAAAGAAGAATAATGGCCATCAATGAACCTTACAAGATGGAGATTCTGGATAGTATCAAAGAAGATCCCATCACAATCTATCATATTGGTAATGCTAGTCCTTTTCTTTTTTCTTCTCGAAAATATTATATTTCAATGTCTAACCCAGATTATGCTGTTAGTGCTTTACTTGCTCGTGCTCTTATGTTGCATACCGCGGAATCAACTATTATAGGATTTGCAAAAGCATTCTGAGATCATGTTTGGGTCCAGTTCTTCGTTGAACCAAACTTCATTGGCGAAAATGCATTTCAGAAATTTCAGAAGACACATTAACTGTTTGGGCAGTATTTTCTGATACTGTCGTATAATTAAAAAAGGAATGTGGCACTACTTCTGAGAGCCCATATTAAAAAAAAAAGAAAAAAAAGTGCACATGTTCTAGCAACACTTAAAATATATTTTTCAACCCAAAACTGGAAAGTTTTCTCTTGCTTATACAAGGCTATTAATACCTAGCTTTTATCTCTGATTCCTTTTCCTTTTATGGTCAAGTTCTATTTTTTTTTTTATTCTTCTTGTTTCTGTTGTTTATGTTACTCTATTTCGTGGCATTAGTTGCAAAGATTGGCCGATGCTTCATGCTTAAATGTGTGGTTATCAAAGACGGAGACTTGAATAACAGTCACTATAGTAGAAGTTGGGTATTTTTTGGTGGTTGGCTTTTTTTGCTATCACGTAGAAGAGCCAGCATATATACTTTGATAATCATGTAGAAGGGGAAGTAAGTGAATAAGAATATAAAAGGAATACAGAGGAAGGATTTGGGTATCAACTGCTGCTAGTTCAAGCCAAAACCCCTTTCAACAAAAGAGTATGCAGACACTGGACATATATTACTATGCCAAATTGCCAACAGAAAATCAAATGTAACATAAATAACATAAGCTTGTGAGTGGGAAGTTCCAGGACGTAAAGGCACTTTCTATTCCTCTCCCTCCATAAGGGCCACATAAGGCACTGTGGAGTAGGATTTTATATTTCCCTGTCTCTCTTACTAGGAGGCACCATACTCATCTGTGTACCTGGTCCTCCAATGACACCCACACAATATGATAGAGGGTGTAAATTGCATGCGACATTCCCCTTGCATTGCAACATCACAATGGAGCAAGAAATGATCTAGCGTCTATTTCAATGTCTTTACAAAGATGTTACCAATTAGAGAAGAGTACATGACTTTAGTGTGATCATGTGGTGGTTGTACACACAAACATTTAGCCTTCCACTGATTTTAATTTGTTCTCTACTCTTTATCTTATTCTGTATTTTTTCCAGGTAACGAGTGGTGGGATCTTTGTGCTGGCCCTCATGTTGAATCTACTGGAAACATTAACAGGAAAGCCGTTGAGCTTGAATCTGTTGCTGGTGCTTACTGGAGAGGAGACATAAATAAACCAATGCTCCAAAGGATATATGGCACAGCATGGGAGAACGATGTACAGTTAAAAGCGTACCTTCACTTTAAAGAGGAGGCTAAACGCAGGGATCACAGGCGACTTGGCCAAGATCTTGATCTGTTTTCTATACAGGTAGCTCTCTTGGAACTGCAATTGAATGGTGATGCATAGTGAATTGATGATAGTTGGGTTTGCACTGCTATTTCTCTTCTCAGCTTTTCTAATGGGGCTATTCTTTTGCTAAGACGAATTTATAAAAACGAAACTCAAGCTTTGAAGCCAAAATTCCGCAGGATGAAGCTGGTGGAGGGTTGGTGTTTTGGCATCCTAAGGGTGCTGTTATAAGACACATCATAGAAGATGCCTGGAAAAAGATTCACATGGAACATGGTTATGATCTGCTGTACACTCCACATGTGGCAAAGGTAGATCTTTGGAAGATCAGTGGTCATCTGGACTTCTACAGGGAAAATATGTATGATCAGATGAAGATCGAGGAAGAACTTTATCAGCTGCGACCAATGAATTGCCCTTACCACATATTGGTTTACAAAAGGAAACTGCATTCTTATCGCGATTTTCCAATCAGAGTTGCAGAGCTAGGAACAGTATATAGATATGAGTTATCTGGAAGCTTACATGGCCTTTTCCGTGTTAGGGGTTTCACCCAGGTACATTTTCCTCAGTCACACTGATATTTCTAACCTGTGTTTATTTGGATTTCTTGTGGTATATGACTCATGCCAATGCATAATGATGTCTATGATGGACATCATTGAGTTTGTACATTTTGAGTTTCCAAGTCATAACACAGTCAATCTGCAAGAGTAGAGGTGCCTTTTTGCATCAATGGAGGACATACGTTGGGATATTCCTGCCATTAAATATTTCTTAACACAGTGCCTATCACCCTTTACAAATCTTGGAAAAGTTGGTTTCAATGCTTCTTCCTTATCTATCTAAAGACCTAAATAAAATGATAAAGAAGTTCTATCCAGAGATCCACCTGGAACATGATACGTGAACCTGTGTGTATTGATAGCTTGCAAATGTTGGTGAGATAGTAAGTGCAGTGTGGAAGGGAGGATGGTGCCACACCACACACCCCCCTTATTTTGGGGTGCCCCTTGATGAAATTGAACATGTCACACTTCCTAATTTCACTTATGCATATGTTGATTTTGCAGGATGATGCGCACATATTTTGCTTAGATGACCAAATCAAAGACGAAATTCGGGGTGTCTTAGATCTCACAGAGGAAATATTATTGCAATTTGGTTTTAGTAAGTATGAGGTGAACCTTTCGACAAGGCCTGAGAAAGCTGTGGGAGGTGATGACATATGGGAAAAAGCAACATCTGCCCTTAAGGATGCTTTGGATGATAAAGGGTGGAGCTATCAGATTGATGAAGGTGGTGGTGCCTTTTACGGTCCAAAGATTGATCTCAAGATTGAGGATGCTCTTGGAAGGAAATGGCAGTGCTCAACCATACAGGCATGTCCTGAACTTGGAATAGCATATACTGTGATGTGGGGTTTCCATGACATGGGTTAATATGGCATAGCAAGGATGCCCGTGTGTGTTTGATATCGCTCCTTCCTCTCTCTTCTCTCTTCTTTCTTTTCTGTGCATGTCTAAAATGACATTTTTATAAAGTATGATGACTTTGTTCTTAGTCGACCCTTTGGCAACCTTTTGAAACTTTTTTTTATGATAAAATATAGATATGCAGTCCTCTAATTAAGCAAATGCTCTTCTTTCCTCCGTGTATAGGTCGATTTTAATTTACCACAGCGTTTTGACATTACATATGTTGATTCAAACTCGGAGAAGAAGCGGCCTATCATGATCCATAGAGCAGTTCTTGGATCCTTGGAGCGGTTCTTTGGAGTCCTCATAGAGCATTATGCTGGAGATTTTCCATTATGGCTTTCTCCAATCCAAGCACGAATTTTACCAGTCACAGACTCACAGGTAATTAATTCAGTTTCGTTGTAGACTTCATTTGATATTAACTAAACCCTAACTAGTTAATAAACTCTATTGGCTCACCATCATACTTTTCCATTGGTGTTATCTGATTTTCATGGGATACTTACTATAATGCTTCCTATGAAATGTGAGTATATTATGATCATACTTCCACCACACATGATTCAAAGATTGGGATTCACAGTGAACCCTCATTGAACAGTAATGAGGCGTCCTTTCCCAGACTGTGACTTATGTGCGAGCGATTGCAGTGTTACATTTGATATTTCCTCCATTTGTTGGTGTTGTTGCACTAAATTTCAAATTGCATGCATTTGCAGCTCGAGTACTGTAACGAGGTGACCAGGATACTGAAAGCTAGTGGTATCCGGGCTGAGGTTAACAGTGGGGAGCGGCTGCCAAAGCTCATTAGAAATGCAGAGAAGCAGAAAATCCCACTGATGGCTGTTGTGGGGCCAAAAGAGGTAGAAACACAGGCTGTAACGATTAGATCTAGGTTTGGCGGGGAGTTGGGTACCATGACAATTAATGATTTTGTTATTAAAACCAAATCCGCCATAGAGAACAGAACATTCTATTGAAATGCTTGCAGTTGAGTCCTAGCAGTCCTATGGAGCAATGATACTAGCAATTTGTTGAATGTTGTACAGACAGATATCGAAACATAAATCAGATACACAGCGAAGAGTAGGGCTACGTATCCAAAATTTATAACCCAAATTTACATCCCATATCATGAAGGACCATTGGTTTAGTGGGTTTCATCAATTTTTTTAAATGGGATCCACTCAATGGTCTTTCTTGATTTGAGATGTAAATTTGGGATACATATCATTACTCCACAATGAAAGAAAAGGATTGTTATCATTTCTTGAGCCGTGGAGCGTTGCGTTGTGTTTATACTTGGGACTAACATTTAAATTGGAACCTTTATTTTTAAAATCTCTTGAAAACACTTAAACATATGAATGAGTTTGGTACTAGTTGTTGCTAGGGGCGGCTCAAGCCAATTTGAGACTTAAAATAGAAACATTAAATGAAGACTTATTTATTTTCAGTATTATTTTTTTAAAAAAAAATTAATTTATTTTTAATTTTCTACGTGATGGAGATAAAAGAAAGATATGCTAAAATTGTTGAGAAAAAGATTTTAACTTTTGTTTTTATTTTTTACCACAGAGAGGGAGATAGTGTTTAATTTTAACTTTTGTTTTTGTTTTTTATTTTTTACCCGAGAGAGAGAGAGAGAGAGAGAGAGAGAGAGAGAGAGAGAGAATAAATATGAGTTGATTTTTGAGTATTTTATTTTTTTAAATTCAAAGTTTTTAATGTTATGAATTGAAGTATAGGTCTAAATTATTGCAATAAAAATTTTGATTGAATTTAATTTTTTAGACTTTTTTGTAGGGCTTAAAATTTAATAATTTTTTTTTGTAGACTAATAATGTATTTAAAATTATAGAACTTTTTAAAAATTTGGGCCTAAAACTCGCACGTTTTTTTTCCATTCCGTTGGACCGGCCCTGGTTGTTACTATGATGTGCCTAGCCTTCTACCAAATGCATAGGTGTGGTTTAACAAAAAAAAAAATTGAGAAAAAATTTGTTAGCGGGGATGTAGATACCAAACAAAGGTGGGCTTTTTATTAGTATTTAATATTCTAATTTGTAACATAGAATAATGATTAAAATACTAATTTCTAATAAATTGATCCAATATTTTCACTTAGTAACATTTAACACACTTAATTCTTAATTTAATAATATTACTTATGTTGGGTTCTTTTTTGTGGAGTCTAGTTTTGTGTTGATCTGGATAGTGATCTAACTCGAAATAATGTTTTTTGGTTTTTAATGAAAATTTTTTTGAGACTTAGTCCATGACCTGTTTTGTAGCCCAGTACGCAAAACATATATAAAAAATATCTGTTACTTTGATAATTAGAGTTTGAGAGAAACTGTGTAGCCGTCCTCTGTATTTCTCATTCTCAATACAGTGAAATCCTTGCAGTTTCGTGAACGGAGGTAAATTGCCGAACCACGTAAAATCTGTGAGTCTTGTTTTTTTTTTGTTTCTCATTGTTTTATGTTTTTTTGGTTTGTTATTCGATTGCGTGAGTTTGTCTGTGGGTTTAAAGCGCGTTAAATCCCAACAACTTAACATTTAACATACTAATTTCTCTTTCTAAATAATTGATAAAATATTTAGCTATTTGTTTGTTAATCATTGTATTACTTTTTTGGATGTAAAATTGCTAGTCAAGTTTGTTAATCATAAAAAAACACGACTAAATAATATATTGTCTTATTAAATAATGATACTAAAAAAAATAAGAACAACGATATGTGACGATGCTGGTGTTTAGTAAGCACTTCGGTTAGACACTTGATTTTTGAACCAAAATTTTGAAGCTTGTTTCAAAATTGACGAATTAAAATTCGAAAACTTTGGTTAGTCAGCATAATCACTTGAGCACACATAATCTGGTACCATGTTTCCCTCATCATCCAAGTACTCCCCTACAATGAATCTATGGCATGAAACTGTTCTCCTGTGCAGAATTTCAACGTAATATTAACCAAGAGTGAAAGGAAAGGTCAGTATGAAGACAGAAAGTTCAACCACAACATTACAACCTCAAACTAAATTAGCTTAAATGTAGGTGGGACTGCCACATGACTGGTTTTAAGCTTCCCTGTAACAATATAAATAGCTCCTGCATTCAATATTCCACATTCAGTTGAAATCAAAAACTAGTTGAGAACACAAAAGGATCAAAAGAAGAAAAATGGGTTTGAAGATTAGTTTTTCCTCTATTGTTTTGCTGTTATTGCTCACACGTGTTGTAGAGGGACAACCGGGGGTGTTCGACGTGACCAAATTCGGAGCAAAACCCGACGCAGATATCGGCCCGGTGAGAATTCTAAATTTTAACATACACCAAGAATAGAAACATATACATTGAATTCTTTTTTACTGTGAATAAATATCTTGAGCGACAAAAATATGCATTTACAGAAGAAAATTTGTTCCAAAAAAAAAAGAGGAGATTATAAGACACAAATTAAATGGCACGGGGTGTTATTATGATAATTTTCAGCAATGCTTAAACATGCTCTCTAAAATTATCAGAAATTCTATTTACGCGACAATTTTCTCAATGTTGTGGCTAAAAAATGTCTTTTTTTTTAGCTACAACTATCAAAATCGTCGTTAAAAACCTTTCCTATTTGTTGTGGGTAACTTCAACCTGCAGTTGTGCTAAATTCAATGTTGAGCCTAGAAGAAAACATGTTTAACCAATTTCAATAATGTTGATTCTGGATTGCAGGCTTTAGTGAGTGCTTGGAAAGAGGCATGTGCGTCGGTGACTCCAAGTACAATATTGATTCCAAAGAACAATTATGCATTAAGTCAAGTGCTGTTTGAAGGTCCCTGCAAGTCTTCTATAAATTTTCAGATCCAAGGTACAGTGAAAGCTTCTGGTGATCCCAGTGCGTTCAAGGCCAATGGTCCGGGGCTCCCCGGATGGGTTACTTTCGAACACGTTGACCTCTTAACCGTATCCGGCGGAGGAACTTTCGATGGCCAAGGAGCTACTGCTTGGAGCAAAAATGATTGCCAAACAAATAGCAACTGTGCCAAACTTCCCATTGTGAGCCTATGTCGATAATCATACCTTCAATTACTATTGAACATTTATATTCTAGACCAATGTTCATAATTATAATCTGTGCGTCTGTATCGGGTAAAGTAATATCCTTAAGATAGATTGCTAGCGACCCGTTTGCAAACTTGATCAATCACTTTGTGGGAGAAAATTACAGTCAAAAACACGATTTCATTTTGTCTTACTGCCTGAAAGCATCCTGTCGATTATCATTCTTGATATTTGTTTTTACAGCATTCATAGACTGTTTTGCAAATACTTACTGTGTTGTTTGTGATTTTGGAAACAGAGTCTAGTTTTCAATTTCGTCACCAATTCAGTGGCCCAAGACATAACTTCCCTAAACAGCAAAAATTTCCATCTTCAAGTTTTTGGTGCTGATAACATGACTGTTCAACATGTCACCATCACTGCACCCGGAGATAGCCCCAACACGGACGGAATCCATGTTGGACGTTCAACTAAGGTCACCATCAATGATACTCAGATCGGAACCGGAGATGATTGTATCTCCATTGGCGACGGCACCCAACAACTTACCATCGAGAAAGTGACCTGTGGCCCGGGACATGGTATAAGCGTAGGAAGTCTTGGCAAGTTCCCTGAAGAAAAAGAAGTGGTTGGAGTCTTCGTTAGAAATTGTACACTCACCAATACATTGAATGGTGTAAGAATCAAAACATGGCCGGCTTCCCTCCCTGGCAGTGCCTCTGATATGCACTTTGAGGATATCATCGTGAATAATGTTGGCAATCCTGTTATGATTGATCAAGAGTATTGCCCCTCTAATCAGTGCTCAAAAAAGGTACCAAAAAAAATTCTTTATTCATTTATTTGAAAACTCGGGCTTAAGCTTCTTGAATTATCAAATCGAGTTTGAACAATGGTTTGTTTGGCTTATTAGGCACATGAAAAATTAAAAATCTTATATATCTCGTAAATTTTACACTTTGTATAAATAGTTATGCAAATGCTAAAAACATACTTTCAATATGCTTGAACAAAATATTAAACTTGATTTGTTTAATGAGAATTGCTCGAGTTTGAATAATAAAATACTAAACCGAGATTTAACCAGATGTTTGAAACTCATTCAATCCTATGGCAACGAGCCGAGACCAAACATTCTGATGTTGGGTGCTCGGTTTGATTTATTTGCACCCTATAAGTTACTATTTGCACATAGTTTTCTTTGTTTCAATCTACCATTATATTTGTGCTTTATGATTCTCTTGTTTATAGGCTCCCTCGCGTGTCAAGGTCAGCAAAGTTAGCTTCAAAAACATAAAGGGCACTTCATCAACACAGCTTGCCGTGAAGCTTCTTTGTAGTGAGAGTATTCCATGCGAAAATGTGGAGGTTGGTGACATTGATCTCGCCTACAGTGGACCGGAAGGCCCTCCCACAACCATCTGTTCTAATGTGAAGCCCATTTTTTCGGGCAAACAGAATCCTCCGACGTGCGTCGGTGGTTCTCAATCTTCTTAAATCCACTGCCCCTGGAGAAAGGTTGATTGATTCCCTAGTTTCCTTTTCTTTTGTCAAAGAGTTTTGTACGTGTTATGGAGAGAGAGAAAGCCTTTCGATCTCCCGGCAAATGCATGCTTAAATGCATGTTTAGTTGGTATATGAATTCTATTTGTAAACGTTAATAATACTATGATAATACAGTGATGTACTCAGATCAGAAATGAATTCTGATTCTTGGAGTATTTTTTTGTACCACACAGCTTTTATTCCACTATCATCATTATGTTTCTGTTAGAGTATGTGTGACTTATATTTGCTGTGTGCATAATGGCAAGGAGGCAGATGCCGGATCGGGATTTAAATAAAGGGGACGCTGATTAGTTGGGGGTGCGGGGGCAACGCCCCCGCGGTACGGTACAGGGGTATTTTTGTAAATACGTCCATATTAGGGTTATATAAATACTTAAGATGAAACCCTATTCTATAATGGAAAAGAACGGCCGCTCGCTCTCGTGGATGTAGGCACATTGCCGAACCACGTAAATCTCTGTGTGTTATTTTCTCCTACTTTTTTAATTGTTTGATTCCTTACTATTCACCATAATTGCTGCACGATCACAACAGTTTCATCACTTCTGTTTAATTTATATCGATAGTAATCATAGATATAAAAGTTAGGTAAAATTATGTTTGATTGAAATAACAAAAAAAATTACATTTTATGGCATATTGAAAAGTATAAATATTGATAGTGCATAATGAAGGAATAGAAATCCGTCTCTAAACAGTTTGGATTTAAGCTTTGTTGACTTGATCAATTATGCTCAATGAGATGAAGTTATGCAAATTTGTAAGTCCTTGAGTGATGCTCGGTTAGTTAACTGGTTGGACATATGCCACAACTCGTGCATTACACCGCCTTTTATTTAGGTTGTTCTTGTTTTGGCTTAAGATTGTACAAATCCAACTTACTCAAGGCTGCAGTTGAGCAGTCCTGCGGAGCAATGGTACTAGCAATTTGTCGATATGTTGTACAAACATGGATATCAAAACATAAAACAGATATATGTGAAAAAAAACGATTGTTATCTTTTCTTGAACCGTGGAGCATTGTGTTTATACTTAGACTAATATTTACATTGGAACCTTTATTTTGAAAATCTCTCGAAAACACTTCTGCATATGAATGAGTTTGGTACTAGTTGTTGCTATGATGTTCCTAGCCTGGTACCAAATGCATAGGTTTTGTACTCCTGCTAGTATGATGAAGCAAACCATGCACGGGGAAAACATCAAATTCCAAGGGAAGGGATGGTGGTGGGGGTGGTTCGATAGGGGGTGGTTCGATATGGGTAGGTTCAACTTGGCTATGGCTTACGTAAGTTGTTTGTTGAGGTGGGCTAGTGATATCTTTATCAATATATTTTTCTTCATTTTTTTCTTTCTTAATAGTTCACTTACTGGTGTCCCCAAAAATGCCAAGGTAAGTCAAGTCATTCAGGGTGATCGATGGAGATGGCCAAATTCCAACCCTAGGAATAATAGAGAGCTGATGGAAATCTTAGGTTCCTTGCCCAGCTATCCTCCCATTTCTGGAATGAGAGATAAGACTAAATGGATGCTCAAATCTAACGGGGTGTTTTCTACCTCATCAGCCTTTGAAAAGCTCAGAAACAAGAAAGAAGAAGTCGGTTGGTGTCATCTGGTTTGGTATAGGCAGAATATCCCTGGAACAAGTTTCATCTTTTGGCTTGCTATTAGAATTAGAGAAAGGTTGGCTACACAGGATAGAATTCAACATTATGCCCATAATATATGTTCTGTATGTGTACTTTCCAGAGACACTAAAAACACTCATCCCCGTCTATTCTTTGAGTGCTTCTTTACCAGCAGAAGATGCAAATTTGTCATGAAAAAATGCAGTGGCCCTTGGCAAACTCTGCCCTGGCAGCAATTCATCAATTGGTCAGCAAGCTCTTGGAAAGGTAATGTCTCCAAAACATTATCAGAAAACTCGGCCTTGCAGTTACAATTTATAAGATTTGGAGGGCAAGAAACCAAAGAATCTTTAAAAATGAGTATAGCAATCCTGCTACGCAAGGGTGTCCATGGATGGGTTGGTCCGGTCCGCGAAATTTTTTTTGGAATGGGTTTTGATAATGCTCAAATTGTTATTGCACAAAATCAACAGTTGAGTATATGAACGGGTGCAATTTATGAGCAGTAAACAAACAATTAATAATAAAGCTGTAAATAAAGAGTCAACACAGAGACTTATAGTGGTTCGGTCCGGATGATCTATTCCACTTTTGAGAACGATGGCAGTGGCCGGAATCTTTTATTGATGAATAATGTGACCGGGAGAGCAACTCTGGGAGTATTACAGTGCTTAGCGAGAGAGCAATGTGTGTAGGGAGATATGTAGAGATTTCAAGGTGATATCCTCAATGTGTAGAAGACTTACATTATATAGGTTCACTAAGGCGGTGAGGTGGTGATGTGAGGAAGGGGGTTTCTACCATTTTGGTAAGTACAATTTTAGTAGGATTGAATCTTCGTATCCCGATATTCTTTCCTTTGTTCTTCTATTCAGTCGGAGGATGATCCTGAGTTGGATTGAGTTTGATCCTGAGCCTGAGCTTGGAGTTTGAGTGGACTGGACTTCGAAGTAATTCCAATAGTGCTGAGGAAGACTAAGGAGGAGAAAGCGGAGGACCAAGAAGAGGCATGGAGCCAGCCCATGGGCGGCGCCCTCTTGGTTTCCTTGGGCAGCGCCCCCTTTTAGGGATCCTTGGCGTTGGCCTCTTGGTTGCTTTGGGCATCTACCTCTTGATGTCTTTTTGGATTTCCTATTGATAGGTCGACCCAGCTTCGAATGGGTTCTTCTTTGGACTTTTTCGATTTATTTAAATTGAGCTTGGCTCAGTCAAATTCGGGCTCATCATTTACCCCCCATGCCCTAAGCCTTTTGACTTTCAGCAAGAGAAGAGATTGAGGGCATGTGCTTCGTCTTCACTTGGGCGAGTTGGAGTTTTTCTTGCTCGTCACGACACCTTTTCATCCCCGTGGACTTAATGAAGTTACCAATATCAATTTTTTTTTTTTGCATTGCTTTTTCGTCTATAAATAGAGGTCACTGTTCTCACCTTCCTCATTCTTTTCTCACTTCTGGAGGCTTTTCTCAAGTCCCTCCAAGCTTCTTCATTGAGCTTCTCCAAGAAGCTAACTCATCAAGCTTCCTCAAGAAGCCATTCCTTCCTTATTTAAAGGCCTTTCAAGAGTTCACTGTTCATCACTATTTCTCACTATTCATCCCCATTTCTCCCCTTTGGTTTTCTCTCTTTCAAGACTCATGGAAACTAGGAGCTCAAAAATTCGTGGGGTGGAGCAAAGAAGAGCTCGTGGCATTGATCCCATAGGTGGTGCCCATGAGGGTGACACGGTGGGCGGCACCCATGGTGGTGCTTGTTTAGAGGGCGATGCCCATGCCTCTACTCTTGCAGGCGACGCCCCTTGTTCATTTCTTGATGGAGCCCAAGTCTTGGACCATTGAATAGAGTAGCAGAGAGGAGGTGATAAGGGCAGCATCCCTGTCTCGGGTGACTCTGGGAGTGATGCAGGCAAAGGAGTTCATGGCTTTGGCCAGGGACTTGGGTGACCCCTTTTCATGCCTTGGTCATTTGGGTACTCCTCCTCGTGGCGGTCTTCGTGAGGTCCCGGCAAGAGGCGAGAGGCCCTTTGGAATTCTTGGTGTCTGATTGGCTACGAGCAAGGAGGCTTTAGTCAACCCCTTTCAGTGTATCATGAGGGACCCAAGACGTAGGTGAGCAACAAAGAGGGTCTTCAAAAGATACAGGGGGCGCCTTTCCTGGGCTGAGCGGCTCCTCAGGCACCTTAGGCGATGCCCATGGTGCACTGGACAGCGCCCCAGACACCCAGACGACACTTTAGGCATGGTTCAGTCTTCTCCTCGTGAGGCCAAGAAGCGGTCGATCAACGATTTGGACAAGATTAGCTCTCGAGGTATGTTTCTAGTATTCTTTTTATTCCTCCGTAGTCGTGGGTACTTTCCTAAGCAATGACTTAACTTCATTTTTTTTTGGGTGTCCATTCAGGCGATCAAGAGACTGCTGAGGACCCTGTGGGGAGTCCAGGCGCTGATGGAGGCAGCAACTCTAAGGTAATTTCTATATTCACCTCTTTTTACTGCGATGAAGGCATCTTAGTCATAGTTTCCAAGTATCGCATTCCACCTTCTGTGACATGCCATCATGCCAAGGCCGACGAGTTGGCGTGTTGTGACTCCTCTGGCGAGATCGTTCTTTATGAGGGAATGTTGGAGGCGGGCCTGCGGTTCCCTATTCTCGGACCTATATGTCAGGTTCTGGGGCACTTGTCGCTTATTCCTAGGAGGTTGGCCCCCAATGGTTGGAGGATGATTTTGGCATTTTTTGCATTGTGGTGGTTAGTGCACAGTGCTACTGTTCCTCCACCATTTGAAGAATTCCTGGCCACATATGTACTTTTGGAGAACCCTGTTCCTCACCAGGGTTGGTATCGTTTCTCCCTGAGATCAAGTAAGCTTATTACCAAGCTTACATCCAATCTTCACAATTGGAAGAGAAAAATCTTCTTTGTCGGAAGCGAGTGGGCTTCCGAGTCTGATTGTGACATAGTGCCTATCCGATGGGATTCAGTTCCCATGACCAAGCTAGGTGAGAATTTTACCTTTAACTTCTGTCTTAATCATCACGTATTTGTTCTTATGGTACAACTGTCTTCTTATAGCTTCGCCGACTTTATCCACGAATCAAGAGAGGATGCTCCAAATGGTTCGTGACAATCCAACGAAGGAGTTTTCTGAGATTATGTTGGCATCGGGTGTTTCCACAGCTCCTTCAAGGCCGAGGAAGAAAGGTACTTGACTTTTTTAGTAGTCGTCTTGAAAACACAATGTTGTAGGCTTTTTTTGTCTTACATTGATTCTGCAGGTACTCCTATTGATAGGTCGATTGTGG